AAATAGTCCATGTGACATCAGTGGTTCAACCGTAATTTTATGAAGCTACAAGAATGCTTTTTGTGCGTCATGGTACTGTTGTGAACACGCGGCGAAGACTGACACGGAAGAGAAGAAATTGAATAAAGCCATTATTTTTGTTTTCTTTGCACACAAAAAAGTATTCTGGAAGCTTCGTAAAATTACGGTTGAACCACTGATGTCACATGGACTATTTTACCGATGTCCTTACTACAGTACGTTTCTGTGCCTTGACCATGGTCGTTCTCTCAGATTTCATCAAAAATATCTTAATTTATGTTCCAAAGGGTGAGTAATTAATGACAGAATTTTCCTTTTTGGTAGAACTATCCCTTTAAGGCTTTCCAATAGCACAGTGAATTTTTTTGATCAACCAGCACTATTCCTAGATCTAGTCGCCCAACTGAGCAGCCGGGAGAGCAGGATTCTGTGGTTTGATGAACCTCAACTCCAAGCATCGTGTTTGGAGGAACCCAAGCATTGCTTATCACCTGCACAATAGCTTTCTGCTGGTGAAGGATGGTGGTTTTCAGAGACTGGGACTGGGGAACTGGTCATTCCTTAATGAAAACATGAACCAGAGAGCTAATGACCTCGGACTGGGCAGAAGGTTCACTAAGCACACAAACCAAGAGTAGTTTAGGGTCGAATCTGTGAGTGTCCTTGAGTGGCCCAGTCAGAGACCAGACTTGAACCCAATCAAACATCTCTGGAGAATCCTGAAAATGAATGTCTGTTCAACCTGACACAGCAGAAGAGGATCTGATACAAAGCATGGCAGAAAATCCCCCAATCAGTGTGTCATCTAGGTACTTTCTGAATGGACAATATGATTACCCTTTATAGAACACACAAAACCTTACAGTTCAGTTTATTTGCACAAAGGTTTATCTATTTACAGTTTTTTTGCTGATATTTTTTGTTGAGAAATCTGGGAAGAGCATCGCTCATGTCCTTTTATCAGTCAGTCTATTGGATCTTAACACTTATAAACATTGTTGGCTCAGGTTCATATTTGGCTGAGAAATCCACCTGATGTGAAGGATGTTTTCCATGCTTGTAGCTTTATTCTGAAGTGGATTTGATTCCACTTAAAGCTTCACCATCAGACATTTTGTGAAGTATAGCAGCCTTCAGAGTCGGAGACCTCCCCCTCCAGTTTATTTTCATTTGTATTTTTATTTATTTATTTATTTCATTACTTTTGGTTGCATTGTTGCCAGTAATAGTCTGATGCAAAGGGACCAATAATGTGTTGCCGGTTACCCTAATTTACACTCTATATCATCGAAGATGATGCAAGCGCATACATAGATACATTTAAAGGGGTCATATGACGATGCTAAAAATCACATTATTTTGTGTATTTGGTGAAATGCAATGTGGTTTAATGTAAAAAAAACACATTGTTTTCCACCTATCGTACATTATTGTCGCTCCTCTCTACCTTCACCTATCTGAAACACGTCGATTTTTACAAAGCTCATGATTCTGAAAAGCGCCGTGTGCTCTGATTGGCCAGCTATCCAGTGCGTTGTGATTGGATGAATACCTCAAGCATGTGACGGAAATATTACGCCCCTTACCATATTTAGAAACACACAGCGTCTCCACGACACGGCGGCAGCGGATACAATACTACAGCGAGAATCAAAGTTACGCCTTTTAATGTTCAAAAAACACATTGTTTTCCACATATCGTACATTATTGTCGCTCCTCTCTACCTCACCTATCTGAAACACGTCGATTTTTACAAAGCTCATGATTCTGAAAAGCGCCGTGTGCTCTGATTGGCCAGCTATCCAGTGCGTTGTGATTGGATGAATACCTCAAGCATGTGACGGAAATGTTACGCCCCTTACCATATTTAGAAACACACAGCGTCTCCACGACATGGCGGCGGTGGATACAATACTACAGCGAGAATAAAAGTTACGCCTTCTTTCTTTGCGTGAACATTTGGGCGGCGTTATGCAAATCTTCCCACATAGTGATGTAGACATGTGGGGGCGTGTTTGAATGAGGCGATTTAGGAGGGCATGGAAGAGTCTTAACTTTTACAAAGAATATCTCTTTGGCTTTGAGACTTTAGTCTTTGGAACTTTAGGGATCTTATCTATTCACGAACAGCTTGTAACACTCCAAAGAGAAAGGAAAACTTGAAATCGCATCATATGACCCCTTTAAGCAGTTTTAACACTCAGTACAAATTTAAAATAAGTGTACTGTCCTTGTGAAAAGTGCTGACACTCTTGCATTCTGATATTGTTGGTGATGATATGTTTTTCTTTGTATCTCCCAGCAGGAGAAGCCCAAACTGATCGACCCTCTGGACTATGAGGCTGTGATTTCAGAGCTTGAACCTGAGCTCAGAGAAGATCCTCTTCAAGATCTCCTGCTATTCCCAGACCTCGACTTCACTGTGAGTGCTTCGCTCTCTCTTTGTGTGCGAGTGTTTGCTTGTGCGTATCTGTGGCGTTCATGCATTTACATCCCGTGATGATGTGTGTTTTTGACATTTTGAAAGTGCTCTAAAAAGGGTCTTTTTTTGAAAGGTGTGGAAATTTACAAAAAGTCATGAAGTAGGTGTTGAATGACTGTGTGCATGCTTGCGTATGTGTTAAAACTTCTCCCTGTGTGCAGCACTGAAAACAGCCGAGGCCTTTAAGACCACATCCTCTTTCACACATAGATCTGGGCTTTACATGGCACAAATATAAACATGGCTTATGAGACTTTTCTCAGTGAGCACACACAAACATAGCACCTCATATTGCTGTGTTCATGATGAAAAACGGAGAGCTTAAAACCAGAAAGGCAGCGCCAACAAATCCAAATCAGCAATCAAGCTGAATAATCCAGAGAAACCGGCAGTAGGGCAGCGCTGGGCACAGTGAATATATATACACACAGCGTTAATGAATTCCAGATGCAGCGTATCATGAATGCACGTCAGATGTGATTGGGACCTCTACTGGTGGATGGTGGAATTGAATGTGTGGAATTGGAATTGTGGAAATGAGTAGATGTTGCTGTGGATATTACAACTTGTGTTATATTTTTGGAGACTGACGGACATGGTAACTATAAACAACAGTCATCGTGTGGAAAGTATTGCATAATTTTTCCAAAATAAAAGCACATGTGGTTGGGGAAGCTACATCAGAGACCCTTTTTTTAAATGGATGTCGATGGAGGAGAGACTTTAATACGCTGAATAAACTATCAGATTATGTTCAAGATAAACATTTTTTTTGGAGTGCTGTTTTATAAGAGAAATCACTGACCATTTTGAGTCGGGTAGAATTTAGTTTGTAGCACTTCATTTCTGTGATATCCACAAACAGCAGGCTCGTTTGAGATGAGCAATATTGATCTGATGTCATGCTGATGTATGCAAAAAACTCGAGAGACGGCTGAGCCAGATGTTGCAGTTGCTTTCCTCCGACTGCACTAACTATAGGCTTCATAGGAAATGACTTGCTGACGACACAGCTTAAAGGGACAATACAAACTTTGGTTAATCTTCAATGCACAATTTATGTATTTATATATATATGGTTTCTGCTTCCTCCCTCTTAAAGTCCAGGTAATCAAAACTTAGGTCCAAAAGCATCATAAAGGTGTCAAAAAATGAATCCATATCAATAGAGCGTCTTGTGGAGAGATACGATTGCTTTATTTGATGAACAGATTTAATTTCGGGATGAACAGATTTAATTTTGGCTTTTCTTCACATACATACAAACACACATATATAGAGTGCATTAGAAAGGTAAACACTAAAGCTCCTGTGGCGTATGATACACACTAGAACGAACCTTACTGGTTCTCATGCTTCACACACCCTCGTTTGAGCATCTGTGTTGACCATAAGTGAGGTGCTCTATGTGTGTTACCGTTTTGTTCTCTTGTAAAATGATTTTTTTAACCCCTAACACTAATTTGTAATTTATACAGTCATGTTTTATGTTATGTTTTATGAAAATGGGCCACACTCTGGCTCTGGCAAGCAATGTCAGAATAAAGGCATGGATGAATAAAACAAAAGATTAAATGAATACTATGTCTCATACTAGAGAGAGGTGTGAAATGCTTGCAGAGTGGGAACAAATTAGTTTGAGACCGCAATCACATAAAAGCACAAATGGAAGTGGAAAGTTCTGTGGGTGTTTTACTGACAATGTGCAAATTAAATACAGATGCAGATTAGTTCCATAATGACCAATGCAATCCACCAAGAGCAGCACAAATTAGCTAGAGCCAACAATCATGTGCGTGTAATCTGCTAACAACCCAGGCACAAAATGGGTTAAAACATGCTTTTTTGGGGGGCACATGATTACTGCAAACCTTGGTAAATTGCCTTGCATGATTTATTTAAATACTCTCCTCTCATAAATATTGCATCTGAAAGGGAAACTCCTACAAATGCATATGCAATAAGGCAGGCTGCAAAAATAAGTATGTCTACGCCCTTTCATTGCTTAGTAAATCCTAACAGTAGTTTTTTTATGTGTTTTCCACAATTACAGTTCTGGCAGCAGATTTGTCCGGAGCACTACAGACTGAGCACGAATATAGGCCTAATAGAAAATGAAAATTATAATGTATTTCTATATTGTATATTGTGCTAGAATGTAGCAGTTTTGTCCGTGTCGCTTTGCTTTTAGTGTGCTGCAGTGAGAAGACACAGGCTTGTGAAGTTGTGCACTGAGTTCCTGCGCTGCGTTACCTCCTCAGCTTTTCATGCAAACCATCAACGTGCTCGGAGACATGGGACGCTTAATGAAAGTTAATGAAACAGCTGGGGAGAGCTATGTATTCTATATTTCTTTATTAGAAAATACGCAGCAGACAGTTGCGCTGAGCAGCAAAGTTAACAGCACAAGACTAAAAATCAGCTTTGCAAGCAAATGAAACGAGCTTACTAAGGTTGTTCTCGCTTCAGAACTCCATGAAGCAACATGTAAAATGACTCTGAGAGGATTAAAGACACCAAAAAGAAAATTCCTGATTTGATTCCAGTTTAGACAGTCATGCTCATCTCGGAAAAACTTGTGTAATTTGATATATTTCACAAAGATTCAATAAAAAACGAGGGATATGTAACTAAAATACTGTGTAACTAAGAAACATTTTAATAGTATATTTAGTGTTCAGGAGAGTTAGACATATTTTGTTTGTTATGCATCATATGCCTTTCTGTTTTGTTATGAAAAAATTATTTCAGGTTCATTATACAAAAGCAAAGGATTATAAAGGTAGATATAGATATTATATTATATTACATAGATAGATAGACAAAGACCTTTCTCCACATAGAATCAAAGTCATAACATAAGCTTTAAGCATTTAAGTAGCGATGATCTTTTACCATAAGTGACACAAATTAACCACGAATTTTCCAAAAGGAAAAAAAAAAAGTATCTTTTCTCAAATCCTTAAAGGGTTAGTTCACCCAAAAATCATCATGAATTACTCACCCTCATGTCGTTCCAAACCCGTGAGACCTTTGTTCATCTTCGGAACACAAATTAAGATATTTTTGATGGAATCTGAGAGCTCTCTGACCCTGCATAGACAGCAAGGATATTACCACGATCAACGCACAGAAACGTAAAAAGGACATCGGTAAAATAATCCATGTTTATTAAAAATAGCAAAATGAAATTACTAAAAAGTGATATTGTTAAATATGAAACTAAATTAAAACCGCCAGTAGGCCACCAGTAACCACCACATTCTTGCTTGTGTGGTATTGCAGGACCATATTATAAATACAAAAAACAAGAACTCATATTTTTGCACCCATATCTTGAATTTCTGGGGGCATTTTATTCATTTTAATGGCATTTTTGCCCCCAAGCCCTCATTAATTTCTGACCCTGCTTACTGTTATATGAGGTGAAATTTCAGCACTGCATTTCCCAATAGATTTATTTGACTTGACCCCTGGAAAACATTATTTTTAAGCCCTTCTTGGTGAAGAACAAACTGTGGTGAACAGTGGTGCAAGAAAGAATAAATCATATGAGGAGTGTGTCCATTGAGAGTGACGTACAGTACTGAGGGAGTTCAACTGTTCTGGCATCATAACGGACTTTTCCTCTAAAAAAAAGTTTACTCCATCTAGATACTTCTTCGGTTTACTGAATTAGTCAGTTCAAAGGGAGTAATATTTGTGCATATTTTTGTAGTTCTGACAAATACTAAAGTAGCTTTTTTTAATTTAATTTTTAGCTACAAAATAAATAAATAAAAATAAATAACTGTGTGCATGAAATTGTGCGATTATGATGCAGCATATACATAAAGGTAATAGTGTATTAACATTTGCTTCCAGGAGCTTAGCCATAGTCCTGCTGTCAAGTTTACTTCAACTATACTTCAACTGTTGATACATTTTCAAAGGCCTTTGTTGCCTCATCATTATGTCATGATTTAGAGTTTTCTTCTCCGGATCTTAGTGTGGATGGGTATTTTAATTGTTTTAATTCGGTTTGTACAGAAATTTTAGATGAGATTGCACCCTTAAAATATAGGGAATCAAAAAAACAATCACAGCCGTGGATGAATGATGAAATCCATATGTCAAGGAAAATTTGCGGAAGGGCTGAACGAAAATGGAAGAAGGATAGGCTGCAAGTATCGTTTGATATGTTAAGAGAAGCTTTGACAAATTTTCAGTCTATTGTGAAGGTTGCAAAAGCAAAATATTTATTGAATATAATTAATAAGAACTCAAACAAGCCTAATATTTGATTTAGTACGATTAATAAAGTGATTTTTTCTGCGTCTACTAATTGTCTCAAGGCTACTCAAAAGGTTTTTTGCAATTCTTTGTAAACAAAGTTGATAATCTTCGGTCACAGTTTGTGTCATCACGCATCGATTACTGTAATTCTGTATATATAGGTATTTCACAGGGTCAATTATCTCGTCTTCAATTAGTACAGAATGCTGCTGCCAGACTTTGACTCGCACAAAGAGGAGAGAGAGAATTACTCCAGTTTTGGTTTCTTTACACTGGTTGCCTGTAGAATTTAGAATTGAATTTAAGGTTTTGCTGGTGGTTTTTAAAGCGTTGCACGGCATTGCTCCAAAATATATTGTTGACCTACTGATTCCTTATCAAAATTCAAGAAACTTGAGATCTTCGAATCAGATGAGTCTTTATGTTCCCAAAACAAGATTAAAATCAAAGGGTGATAGGGCTTTCGCAGTGGCTGCTCCTCGATTATGGAACCCTCTCCCAATGCACATTAAATCTTCCCCATCTGTGGATGCTTTTAAGTCTAGATTGAAATCGTACCTTTTTGGTAGAGCTTTTAGAATTGACTAGAGGGACCAGGTTTTACATTTTAATGTTGAATCTTGATTGTGTGACTGTATGTAATGTTGCTGGAAAGCACTTTGGTCAACGGCAGTTGTTTTAAATGTGCTATAGAAATAAAATTTGTATTGTATTGTATTGTATGTCTCGAAGAAAAACAGTTTCCTGTAAAACATCAAAGAAAATTTCATATCACCATCTGGACTGAATATTCTGAAAAAAAATATATATATATTTTGTCTTGTCATCAACATTGAGCACACCAATACACAGATCAATTTATTGAATTTACCAGTGCATGTAAATTATCCCAGTGATGCAAGTATGGTTATTTTAAGGTTATGGTTATTAAATTGGTTATTTACCAGTGGGGGAAAAAATAATAAACAAATAATTCTATGGCTTTTTCTAGAGGAAAAGTCCCTTATGATGCCAGAACAGTTTATCTACTCTCAATGCGTATGCTCTTCAGACGATTTAGTCTTAATAAAAAGTTGTTACTGGACTATTGGATGTTATTCAAGCTCAAATCACACTCGTATATGAAGAAGAAGCAATATATATGAGAAACCCAATGGATTACTACCATATTCTTTGTTTTTTGAGTTGTGATGTTAAATAAAGCATTACAAAATGTGACCCTGGAGCACAAAACCAGTCATAAGGGTCAATTTTTT